ATCTATTTCCTCATGATCATGAGTACGTTTTCTTTATAGGATCATCATGATTACTTAAATGTTCAAGGCTACTGATTTCTGATACCGTGGTACTAAAATCTTCCTAATCCAATTCCATGGCACCAAACCTCAATATAAATATAAAGACGAACTTGACTTTGTGTATTTTGACCCTCATTAGTTTAATAAATATATGGTATTTTTTTCATAATGTCCTGCTCATATCGAAATGCTTTGTGCAGATTCTGTCATGCCTTCCAAATTGCTCTACGCATTTAAAAAGTAGGTCTTATGCTATTTCCTTAGAGACTTGAAGTTTTAAGGTGAAACTTCAAAGGATGGTATCTCAGTTATGCATTTGCTTTGTTCAGCAATTGTCAGCTTTGCAAATATTTCTAGCACTCAAAAGGAGGAAGCTGAAGGACTGGGGGTATCTTGTTTTTCTTGGGAGGAATTCTCTCAGTTGGTAATTTGTTAACACTATTTTTCTCATATAAATTCTCTTTTTTGGTAAAAGATTGGTAAAATGGTTTTCAATAACGTAAAACCACCTTTCCTCATCTTTTTTCAGGGAAATTTAGATTGTGAACTACCTCCAAAATAGAGGACTGACATTTGCACTATAATGTACACAAGTGGAACAACTGGAGAACCAAAAGGTGTTATTATTACTAATGGTGCAATTATGGCAAAAGTATTGTCTGTGGAGCAAATACTTTTTCTAACAGATAAAGTGGTAAACAACTGAAACATAGTTTACTACTAGCAAAGGTGCCTGCACGATGCTGCGGGTTTAAAACCGTCTGAAATGTGTGTAAAGTTATGAAAATATGTAGCAAGTTTAAGTTACAAAATAAACACTAATAACATGTTTTATATGTTGTTTGTCATCTTAAAATATTGATCATATTTGGAAAAACTGAAAATCCACAACAACCAAAAATTTATGATAAGCATCTTTCAAAATAGAAACATAACATAGTGGATGAAACAATGAGGAAATTACCCAAGAATGCCTAGGAATGATGTTCTCGACCACATATCCAAGATTAATTTGTCACGAATAACAATCTAATGGTAGAAGATTAAAATGCAAAAAAAATTACCAATTGAATCAACCTAAGCTGATGAGAAGTGAATCCACTCAGACTAAGAGCAGGACGCATCTTAAAGAAAATGATTCATAACTGTTGTCGGGAGTCATTTGAGTTTCCTTGAAATTGGAGTTTCCCATTACTATTTCTCAAAAACCTAGCACGGCCTACTAATATTTGCGCTCGTGCCGTGCTAGGCCGGCCCGTCTAGTTTGACACCTCTAGTTCAAAGAAAGAAGATGCAAAAGCACATTCATCTGACACCTCTAGTTCAAAGAAAAAACACTGTAAAAGCACAGGAAGAGGGCTGTTTAAATGATCCTAGATGCATTTGAAACAAAGAGTATATGATCAAAAGTTATCTATGCAAAAGTCACACTAAACAATCAAGAATTTTTTTATATTTTTCAATTCCATTTTTCTGTTTTTCCCTTTTTTCCCTTTAAACAGATATCAAAATTTCATACTCTAATTCAACAAATGAGTTTTCTCAAAGTCTCTTCTAACAATCTAAAGATCAAGCTTCAATTTTGTAGTAAACATATATGTCTGAAAATCAACCCAAAACATCAATCAAATGAAACCAAAGGCAGTTTATAACAACTCCATGTCCTTTTTCGTGTTAAAAAAGCTCCCTCAAAAAAACAAAAATTTCAAAAAGCCACACGAAAAGGCCCCCCTTGGTCACCACTTCGAATCCTAGGAAAAGTGCCCCCCTCCCCAAATCGCTGCATTTCAAAAAGAAAAAAAAAAGAAAAGAAAAAAGCAATATCATGTTATTATCACTCTTATCAACAACTCCTCCAAACACATCATATCTTCCATAAACTAAAAGTTAAAAATATTAATATGTATCTAAGCACAGATCATACATGAAACAGCTTGTCATTGGTTCAAACTACATAAGAATTACTTGGCTTTATTTACAGCTGTACAACCATAGCAATTAGTTCAAATTTATCCCAACCAAATGTCAATTTATGTCATTAGCTAATTACTATGCTTTATTCACATAACCGAAACAATAAATTGGAATTTCAACATAGAAACGCACCTCTAGCTTAAGAGAACCAAAAACAACCACCAAACAGCTTTATCTAAAGCAGCAAAACACCACCTACAAAACATCAAAAGGATACATGGTTGAAAAAGAAGAGGAGAGAGAAAAAGCAAGAAAAAACTGAAAAAATCGAAAAAATTGCAATTTTTTATTTTCTAGTCCCAAAACTGTCCAAATATGTTTTTATGTGCAGTGTTTTTATATGAGATGCTTGAACTTCGTTAGTCCACTACTAAAACAAAAGAAAAATCCTGGAAAACAAAAACAAACACCTGCTAGTTCACCTTTGGCCAGTGACTATACAGCATCAATCAACCGCATGATGTGGAGCCCTGATGGGACACTTTTAGGTAAGCATAGGTGTCCTTGTTTGTTTAGTGTCTATTTAATTTTATTCTCATATTGTGAAGTAGACACCTGCTCATCACAACAAAGTATTATCAAGAAATAGGAAATCAATCTTAAGCTGGTTATGATCAATCAGGTTTCTACTGCAGGTGTAGCATACTCTAAGCACATCGTGCAGATATACTCCTATGGGGGTAAATTGACTTAAGTATTGCTGTGTTGTCCTCTTGTTTTCAGATGGAGGCTCATGTGTGTTGTCACGTGTGGGGAGGATAGGGTCATTAAGGTTTGATCTATGACTTAACTAATTCTGAAGTGATTGTGCAGGTTCAAATTCAATGTCAGTTATGATTTTTCAATATTCTGCATGTGTGGGATGCAGTCAAAACGAAAAACTTAGAAAGTTAGTTTCAGAAACCATACCTCAGTTCTTGGCGCCGATTTCGCAGCAAGGATTGAAAGCGCACGAGATTGGGATTTTGGAATGGGAGAAGGAGGAGGCGGCGAGTTCGAAGCGGGGTGAGATGATCGAAAACTGATTAGATGAAGAATCGAAAACTGATGAGATCAAGACCAAACGAAATCGCAAAACACCAAGGTGGTCTTGGGAGCCATGGGAGGCTTGGAAATTGGAGGGTCGCTTGTGTTCTTGATGGGTTTCAGCTCCTTGGCATCAGTGACGCTTCTGGTTTTGAGCTCACTGCTTCTGTTGATCTTCATCACTCTGCTGTTTTTTGCTGGGTTTGTGTTTGTGGGAGCGATGACTGGGTTTGCTGTGGCTGGAGCCATGGCCCTCACAGGCATGTCCACTTTGGGGTGGATTTTCCAGGAGCTTGGAGGCACATGTCTTTTGAGATTTGGTGGTGTAGCTGAGAGATTGAAGGAACAGTTTTCGATTGGAAATGGTGCGTTCTCTGAGCAAACGAACATTTGGGAACGGAAGAGAACCAAAGGGAAAGTGCCAAGAAGGGAAAAAAAAATAGCGAAGGGCAATACGGTCATTTTACTGTGCTGACAAAAAAGAACAAAGAACATGAGCAGGGGGCAAAATCATAAATTCATTGTTCCTGATGAACAGATTAGGAACAGTGATTCTGAACTCAGTTTTAGTATATATATAATGGTGTTATAAAATAAAATAAATTAGAGTATGGAATTACCACTGAAAAATGATAGTGGAATTATATCTTTTCTTGTGGCGTTTGCACAGATTGAATTTCCTCTCAAATAGAAACTCACTCAATAGTATTCAAATCTCACTCTCCTTTTCTTTCTTCTCTTCTGATGGTATATATTACAAATGAACGAACAGGCCTATTTATAGGCGCTTCTGAAGTTTTCTCGTGAGTGTACAGTGCAAAGTTTCTGCCTCAATTTCAAACCATCACTTTCATCCGTGAGTGTACAATGAAATTTTTGCCTCATTTTCAAACTTCATCATTTAATGTGGGCTCCACTTCCACTATTTATAACAAATGGGAGATTCTCCATTACGAACTATTAAAATGCGAACTTGTTACGGAATTTCGTTTTTAACCGTCCGATTGTTTCTATGGTGCAGATTTAAAACAACATTTAATAACCCGTCTCCAACTCTCCGTCTCCTTCGTCCCTCTCTTCCTCCGTTCTCATTTCTTCCCCTATCTGTATTGCTGAAATTTTCCTTCTTTTTATTTTTATTTTTTTCCTTCCATCTCCCTCTCTTCTCTCGCACTTCTCCATTTCCAATCCACTACCTAAGCTTCTCCCTCCACAACACTCTCTTCCCTGTTGCTTTCATCCATGGCAATAACATAAGTTTTCCTTATGTTATTTTTTTATATAATGGTTTTGGCTGAGTTCTTCTGCATTTATGTATGACTAATTTATGGTTTTGAGAAAGGAATTGGTTTTTTTTTTTTTTTTCTGGGAAGCTGAAACAAGTTAGGAAAAAAACAATAGAACAGAAAAGAATAGAAAAGAAAAAAAGAAAAATGGAGAAAACGGCAAACAAAAGAACCAGAGCAACAATCCAAAATGGTGGAAGAGGAAGGAATAAGAAGGAAAATACAGCAACCCAAATGCTCCCCACCAGAAACACCCAAAGCCCCACAGTCAAAATCCAAACCCCCAACAAACTCTCCAATCCCAGAAGAAAGCAAACAACTGTGGAGAGGAGAGAAGAATAGGGAAGGACAGAGAGAAGGGAAATTAGAGGGAGAGACAGAGGAGGAGCTACCGTAAGAAATGAGAGAAGGAGGAGATGTAAGGAAAAAAAGAAAACTTCAGCCACGCAGATGGGGGAAGAAATGAGAATGGAAGAAGAAAG